GATGCTACCACATGTAAACTTCTGTGATGCATCAGTCTACAATTCTGCAAATCCATCAGGTGATACATCAGTTGATGTGCACCTATTTCCCTCTTCTTTGATGCATCACTCAAAAATTATCACAAATTGTCGGAAGCCCCATTGAGAGACGGTGTGCAATTCCAAGGTTTTGATGCATCATCATTTCATTTTGAGCACGCGTCGACCAATGCGTCAACAGATGCACACTCAGTCAAGTTCTGTAGCGCATGCAGTTCCATCAACAAACTCGACCCGTCAGCTGACGGACTCTCTGACGGTCGGGAATAATAATTCTTTGATGGGGCAAGTATAAATACGTTCTGACACATCATTCGACCATTCAACTGGTCAGTCAAGTGTGAGAAAAACATGAAAAGCGTCGGGGATTTTGAAAAGCATCGCATTGACGCATCATTCGGAGCATCACCTGATGCATTCCATGCATTTCAAAAAATCCGACGCCCAAATTATCCAATGGGTAAAGACTATTTTTGTCTGGAATAGACTTTTAGTATCTTAATCATTTCCCATCCTAATTAAAAGGAGACACACCTAACTTACTACAGTTCCAGGGATAACACATTTTTATTTAATGGAACCAAGTTTACAAAAGGGGAGTAGGAATCTATTCTTTAAAAAATTGTTTCAGAAGTGTGAATGCCTTGGCTGCCTATATTATAGGTGATTTCGATTTTTGATGCATTTTGGAACTGAAAACTTTATTCTCTATATTTTCACCTGAATTTAATTTAATTTTTCAAATTCAACAGAAGGAATCTTCAAGTTGGTTCTTCAGCCTAAAAGTTTTAGTCTTCGAAAGGTGTTTCTTTCTTACGAATTGATTTTTTTTCGGTCAAAAACTTTATACTGAAGCATGGCATGTTTTTTTGAATGAATAGATGGCTCAAGAGTACTTCAAAGCTGCGTGGGAGGCGTATGTGGACAAGCCCAAGTTCTTCTTCGCGTTACAGTCTCAATTTTCCCACGATGAACACAACGCTATCGGGATCCTGGACCAGGAAATGCTCGACTTTTTCAAGTGGTTCCACGATAATGGTCATTTGAATCGAACGATTTTGATTGTGATGAGTGATCATGGACACCGGTTTGCTGCCATTCGGGAAACGCATCAGGGCAAGCTGGAAGAACGAATGCCCTTTTTCTACTTCCGGTTTGCATCCCTCTTTTTTTTTTCAAGAACTGAGCGTGTTTCCAATGATTCGATTTCTTTTTTTTTTTTGATGAGCAGGTTTCCGGAATGGATGAGATCTCGGTATCCCGAAGCTTTGAAAAATTTTGAAGAGAATTCGGATTTATTGTCGACGCCTTTCGATGTTCACGAAACTCTGGTGGACATTTTGCATTTCAAGTCTTTGGACCTCGATGCCAAGTACGTATGTTCTTTTTGTGGGAATTGTTCAGTGTTTCCTGTGCCATGATGAATTTATTCCGAATAATTTGTAATATTTGCATAATCTTTCATCATTTGCTGATATTAATCGAGAATAAAAAATAGGAATATAAATACGTATTGAAAAAAGTGGAATTTTTTACTTTTCTGACCCAAAGTTTTTTCATGTTTCAGAAAGTCAAGACCTTGAAATTGTCGATGTTACACCAATTTTATGTTTTATCAAACGTGGACTTCTCAAGTCTGCATCTTTGTATGATTTTGTGTAATATTTACGTAATCTGCTATTATTTTTGTTTATCTGACATCATTTTATTTTTATTTGATATTATCTAATGTTATGCTATTTACGTAATCTCGTATTTACTTACGGTAATCTCATCATGTTCTTATGATTTCGTATCAGTCACGTAGTTATATCTGATACTATTTGATCAATCATGCATAATTGACGAGAACTCGTAATCATATGCTGGTGCAAAATTTCAGAATTTCAAATTTTTATAGTGTCAATCCTCACATTTGTTGGGCTAGAAAAAAGGACATTATATCTGTACTTTTTTCTATTGAAACGGTTGCCTCTTGCCTTCCAAAACAGTTTCACAAGTATCACTTCCAAGTTTTCCAAAATGCTTGAATATTTTTTAAATGAAAATTATAGTAGATCAAAAAATTAATCTAAAAAACCACATTTTTCAAGTAAGACTAAAAAGCACAAAAAAATTTAGTAGATTAAAAAATTAATCTAAAAACCATGTTTTCAAAAAGCAAAAAATAACCTTAAATGTGGTGCTCATCTATTTCATTTGTATTTCACTTCTTCCCAACAATCTCCATGCGCACCACGTTTAAGGTTATTTTTTGCTTTTTGAAAACATGGTTTTTAGATTAATTTTTTAATCTACTAAATTTTTTTGTGCTTTTTAGTCTTACTTGAAAAA